GGGGGGGGAGAGGAGACCGGCAGTCTGGCTGGGGAGGTTAAAGAAAGCAAAAGAAACGCGGGGATGATGACTTGCCTGTGGTACGTTCAGATAACAAGCTCGCATAGGAGTCTTTTTCCTCTCCAGCCTTAGAGCTAGAGAGAGCACTGTGCCAAATGCCTTCTCAATCCTGCCACGGTGCATCCTGGATAGTAATTGATTAAACTCTGTTTTAAGTACCTTTATATTTCTGTTTATTCCGTGCAGTCTTATATCTAAAGTAAAGGATTGGTAAAGTAAAAGCCAGCAACCTCCCATTATGACAGAGATTTTTTGCATTATTCTAATATTACCAGAGAGGTTTTTTTTTTAACATTTCATTTTGAAATGTGTATGCAAAAGCAGAATCTCACAATCCAATCCTTCTATTTGGAATCTCACATTGACAATGAAGATCATCTTGAGAATGTGATCTAACTGAGGTGGTCAGTGCTTGGCGGCAAGACAGCCTAGATTTCTAGAGTTGGAGGCAGCTGTTTAGGTCATCCCACACTCTTTCTCACCGGAGAAATCCAAATTAATCTAGCACCTCTTTTAATCTTGTTTTTTCCCTCCATTGATAAATCTTTGGATTGTGTTATACCACTGTAGGGGTGTGATACTAGCTATACATAATAGAAAGGTGAGGACCAAGAAGCGAAAAGCCTTTGGGGAGCTTTTAAAGCAGGCTGGAGATAAATGCTACCCATGGCCACTGCTGATGGCTGTGTGGGATTCCCAGTATCGGAGGCATTTGCTGCAGGGCCCAAGGAAAAGGATGGCGCTGGCCTTGCGGGTGGACACAATCCCCAGAGCACCTTGCTGGCTGCTTGTGGGGCAAACTACCAGCATAGGTAGAGCTGTGGTCTGATCCAGCAAGGCTGCTCTTATGTTCTCCTACTACTGATGCTGATGAAGGCTGTTTATATTTATCCCCTCTCTTTAAACCCTTCTTTGTTTCTCTCGGCTTCATCAAGATAATTATTTCTAAGGGTTCTGAACTGCGCTACAAAAATGTGTGGAGCTGAATGCCTATGATTATGATCTGTGGTAGATTGGAGTGAGGAAAAGAAATAGTTAAATTCTTTTTTCTTGTCTATAAAATATATGTGAGCAAAAAAAACAAGCCATCAAGAACTGATGATCAGTTTAATTATTGCTTTGCTGTTGTAAGCAAATAAATTTGCTGAAGAGTAATTGAAGGGTACTTAAGAAATTAGGTCATATTGTGTTTGGTTAATGTGACTTGTCTGATCTAATTTTGAAGATAGGGGAAGAAAAAAGTTAAAAACTATTTTAAATAGTTGGAATAAATATTTTACAGAAAGTATCAATGGACTTGCTTTGAACTGGTGGCTTTTGGAATAACTTTTCTTTGAATCACAATGGTTTTATTAAAAAAAAGTAACTGTTAATGCTAAGTGATGTTATGCTTTTTAAAATTTTCATCTGCTATCTGTAGTTTAAATGCAACACAGTAGATTTAAAATTCATTGGAAGAATTCCCACCACATAAAGGCAGGAATCAGAATGAGTCTCTTGTCCACAATTTTTACTTTTGTGTTTTTTGTTTGTTTGCTTAGCTTGCCAAAAAGTATCATCCTGACACCAATAAGGACGATCCTAAAGCAAAGGAGAAGTTTTCTCAACTGGCTGAGGCCTATGAGGTAGCATGCTTGTTCTCTGCATTTCACCCTCCTTGGCTTTTGGAATTGAGGCGCTCTCAAAGCAGTGTCCCCTGGATGACTAAGATCTTGTGTCATTGACAGGTCTTGGGAGATGAAGTAAAACGGAAACAATATGATACCTACGGGACAGCGGACTTTGGCTTTGGCTCGGCAGGTTCCAGGCAGCAGTATAGGCAGAGTGGCCCAACTATTGATCCTGAGGAGCTGTTCAGGAAGATCTTTGGGGAGTTTTCACATTCCCCTTTTGGGGACTTCAGTGCTGTCTTTGACCAACCTCAGGAGGTAAAGATGAAATGTGTGTGAAAGTGAATTCTAACAGAGACCCCTGGTGTGTAGGGTGCCTCAGGGCTTTCACTCCGCCTGTTTACATCTACGCAAGAATGCTGTTTGTATATCTCAACTCTAGGCCAGCCAGGTGATGCTGTCAGGTCTTGTGCCAGTCTCTGGAGGCTGTGTGAGTCTGGGTGGGGAAGAATAGGCTTAGGTTCCCAGATGGCTGTGCGGTTTTGAACCACCCAGGTCTAGAGATGTTCCACTCTTAGAACTGAATGTGGTTGCCCCTCTCTTTTTGGAACCAATGTCCAACTTGGATGTCTTGTTGGATCCACAGCTCCTGCTTGAGGAGCCAATGGCAGCTGTGGCCAAGAAGGCCTTCACACAAATTCATTTAATGTGCCAGTTGTGCCCAAATCTAACCAGGAGCCCTTAAAACAGTCTCATGCTTTGGTCACCTCACATCTGGATTGTTGCAATGCACTGTACCTGGGGCTGCCCTTGAAGATCACTTGGAAGCAGGTCCAGAGTGCAGTGGTGTGGACAGTGACAGGCATGTCATGATATGCCCATTTAATATCTCTGCTGTGTGAACTTTTGATGCAGTTTATAGGTGATCGTGCCCAAGGCCTGGGAGAAAAACCCTAACCCTAAAGATTTTGTGTTTAAACACACTTGGGAATCGTAATGGCATAAATATGCTAATGATGTACCTTTAGGATTTACCAGTTTTTCAGAAGTAACAAATAAATTCTCTTCTGAATGACTACTCAGATTGAGGTTTTGCTGTGTTGGTTTAAATGGAACAATTAAAAATGCACTTACAATTACAGTGATTTTGTTCAACTTCATGGCTAAATTGGAAATTATTTTTATACAAATTCAGTAGTTATCCTTTTCAGTATTTAGGTTTTAAGGGGGAAACAATGATACAGAAATCTGTTAACAAAGGTAGGCTTCTGAGAGAAAATAATGTGAAGAAGTTGATTACAAATTTGATTTTTGATTCATTACAGTTAGCAAATTTGATTGTATTATGTTGGACTTTTTTTGTTTGTTTTGGTACCTTCAAGTTAGTGTTGACTCCTGGTGACTGCCTGGACTGGTCCCTGCAGTTTCCTTGGCAAGGTTTTTTGGAAGTGTTTTGCCATTGCCTCCTTCTTAGGGCTAAGAGAGAGGGAGTGGCCCAAAGTCACCCAGCCAGCTTTCATGCCTGCGGCGGGACTAGAACTCACAGCCTCCTGGTTCTAGCCTGGTGCCTTAATCACTGCACCAAAAGGGCTCTCTCACTGGTTTTACAGATAATTAATTTTCTGAAGGATGCGACAGCGCTTTTTCTCAATCTAGACATGTTTCCACTCTCCCTTGCTGTTCTTCACGGTATGCAAAATGATGGCTCAGAACTGTGAGCTCCAATCTCTGAGTGGGCTGTTTCTTTCTCCTTTGTAGTACCTAATGGACCTGACATTCACCCAGGCTGCAAAGGGCGTCAACAAGGAGATTGTGGTGCAGATCAACGACACGTGCCAGCGCTGTGATGGCAGAGGGCATGAACCGGGCACCAAAGTAGTGCATTGCTCCTATTGCAACGGGACCGGCACAGTAAGTGCAACAGCAGGGCAGGTGGAAATGTGTGAGCAAGGCCACAAAGCTTTGGTGCAGGGACCGACTGGGCACTCTGCACTTTAGAGGAAGATAGCCTGTTCCTTGCTCTAGATGGTCCTAGAGCTTGACACCGTGTGCTGGCTGGGGGTCCAGTTTCCATCATGGAGGAGAAATTGCCCAACGCTTCACCTTCCCTTGTGTCTTCTTTTGGATAGGAGACGATCAACACGGGCCCTTTCGTCATGCGTTCAACGTGTCGGAGGTGTGGTGGGCGAGGCTCGGTTGTAACTAACCCGTGTGTGATGTGTCGTGGCTCTGGCCAAACCAAACAGAAAAAGACTGTGATGGTCCCAGTTCCAGCAGGTGTGTACGTACCAGCTGCTCCTAAGGAAGAACAGCAACCGCTCTTCTGTGGTGAGAGAGCGGTGAGGAAAACCGGCCCTTGCAGAAGTCAGAGCTGGGCGCTCTGAACATTAGGAACACGATCCAAGTGTGCTCGGCCTCCCAAGCCCAGCTGCCACGAGAGGGGAGGAGAAAGTGAGGTGCTGGGTGAAGGTAACCGTGCCTTTGCTTTGGCTTTAGGTGTGGAGGACGGGCAGACCGTGCGAATGCCTGTCGGAAGGAAAGAAATTTTCATTACCTTCAGGGTGCGTATTTACCTGCAGCTTTGCCATATCATGCCCGGTACTTGCTGTGCCCTTGAACTATCCCCCCTGCCTACTTCCAGGTCCAGAAGAGCTCTGTGTTCCGGAGGGATGGTGCAGATATCCACTCGGACCTCTGTGTCTCCGTAGCACAGGCTGTTCTGGGAGGTACAGCGAGGTCGCCAGGCCTGTATGAGACGATCAGCGTTATGGTACGTTCCTTGCCACAAAAGCAGAAGTACAGAAATGGCTGCTGCTTTGGCCGCTCAGGTTTAGCGATGCAAGGAAACATGAAGGGGATGTTACCCTTTTGCGTGGAAGGCCGTAGATCTTTTCTGTGGAAGGGCTAGTTCTGTGTTTTTGCATGGAAAGGATCAGATTTGCACTTCTGTTCTGCAACAGAAGCTTTGCTGCTCCGTTGGTGCTTTCAGGTTGTGCTCCTTTTGCTTCATGAGAAAATGGGCATTTTCTGTGATGTTCTGCATCTCTCCTTCCCAAGACGGTCTAACTTTCACAGCCTGGTGTATGAAGTCAGCCCCACTGTCTTAAAGTGTTTACTCCCCATAAGTGTTTTAGTAATGGCGGCTGGTTCTCATATTTATCAGATACAGTATGAGTACAGGAGCATTGTCCTCCCATGAGTGAAAAACAGCTGTCCAGAAATGGTTTAATCCAATGCGTTCTTCTTGTGCTTTCCAGATCCCCCCTGGTGTTCAGGCTGACCAGAAGATTCGAATGAGTGGGAAGGGCATTCCCAGAGTTAACAGTTATGGTTATGGAGACCACTACATTCACATCAAGATCAAAGTTCCCAAGTAAGCGAGAAGTCTGGGCATTTTGGAGGAACAGGTTAGAAGAGTTAATTGGGTGGCATGAAAAGGAGCCTTTGAGGGGAGCCACCTTCCTGGGGTTGCAGCTCACGAGTCTGATGATCCCGACAGAATCCCCTTTTGCGTCAGCCTGCTCCTTTTGCGAGAAGTCTGTGAAAGCAAGAGACCCTGGCTTTTCTCCAGACTCTTCTACTGACCTGCCCTATTACACCTCCTTCTTCCCCTCCTCAGGAGGCTGACTGATCGCCAGCGAGCCTTGATGCTGAGCTATGCCGAAGATGAAACTGATGTGGAAGGGACTGTGAATGGCATTGCCAACACGACGACCGGTGAGGCTGCGGAGCTGGCAGATTTTGGCTGCACTTTGGGGCTGGCAGGGCATGTTTTGGCAACTGTTGGCTCTATTTGGTGATGTGAACAATGGCCTTGAACAATGTGGACTGCAGTGGGATTGTGTGCGTTACACAGCAGGGAGCAGACTTCTGCGAAGGACAGCCTTCGATTCAGTCAAATAATTCATTAGGAATAAGGCGCCAGACTGCTGTGCTTGAGGTGGTGTCAGCATTTTCCCTTAGGCAGGAAAGGGCTGCTGTTGTTTGTGTTTGCCTGATACGGTTAACCATGATTCGTTTATCTGTGCTTTACTCAATTTTCTGGGCTTGTACAATGCACTGAACACTACTGACCCCTGAAGCTGAATAAGTGCAACACTCAAGGTAGCAGCGCGGCTGGCTGATGGTTCAGCAGGCGGAACAAATCCCCCAATTGAGAGCATTTTTTGGCCCTCTTGTAGCGATTTCCATGCCCTGTAGTGACCCAAAGGATGCTTTCAGTTGGTGGAAAGGCCATTCCTTGACCTCTGATTCACGAGTGCCTTTTATCCTTTCCACAGATTCAGGGCCCGAGACTTTTGCTCACCGATACATCCGGAGGAATTTAGCAAGTCCAGCAGTGGAGGGGGGCACTTTCCTTTAATATAGTAATGTTCTCTATACCACTGATTGGCATTAGAATGCATGCCATATGTGGATCTGTTACAGTTCAGTGAAAGACTAATGGATAAGTGATAGAAATAAAACTGTAACGAGGAGGCCAAAATAGTTGCTGTGTGCAGGAAGTGTCAGCAACAACACACCACGCCACACAGTGCAAGGGGCAATCTAGGAGAAAGGGAGGAGCCCAAAAAGCCCAGAATTATTCCTGCAGGCACTTTCCATCAGTGGAGGAAGTTCAAAGAAAAATTGAAATGAAAGGAGTGTGTCCCATTTCCCTGTCATTTGACCCTTCCTCACACCCCGGGCAAAGACAGTCTGAAGAAGGGGAAACAGCAACTTCTCAGCTTCATCTCCCCCACCCCGAGAGGCTGGGAAATGACCTGAGGCGGACAGTGGTACTTCCCACAATGCATATTGACCCAGCTCTCTGCTGTTTGTGTCTAGGTGGCAGGGGCACGACTAGAACAGGGGCAGGCGAGGAGAGGCCTGAGGCAGGGGACGGCACAGAGGGATTCCTAGCTAAACTTAAGAAAATGTTTAGCTTCTGATTAGCTGCACCAGAGGTAGGAAGCCCCTTGTGGTCTTTCCATGCACAGGTCTCTGTGTTTGCTGTTTTCAGAAACATTAGTGGGGGTGGATGAAGCTGTAGGGAAACCTCTCTGGAGCTGACGTGTTCCTTGCTGGTGACTGGAAATCTGTGAATAGAAACCTTGCAACTTAAACCCTTCTGTTAAATGCGGGTTGCCGCTTGGACCTTTCTTGTACCCCTCAGGCTGCTTCACCTTACTCCCAGGAGTTCCCAGCACTCATAGGGCAGCAGCTGCGCATGAAAACAAATATAAGGACCAGAGGAACTGGTGTTAATAGCGGCAGTTTCCATCCCTCAGCGTTACACTAAAGACTCCTGGTATAATTGCAGAAGACCTTACATTTAATTAAACGTTCCTCAGTTCTTGCATCTGGAAGCTTCCCCCAAACATTGCAGCAGATCTGGAGCCTGAAAAGCAGCTTTCAGGGGCTGGGGGGACTACAGCCCTGGCTTGGCTATTGAGAGGCTGTTCTGTTACCTAGCTCTTTCTCACAGTCTTTGTATGGGTCATAGACTACCCTTTTTCTTTTGGTCCTAGGAAAGCGTTCTGCTGAAAACTAGATGACTGGGAAGCAGCAGTCTGGAAGGTGTGATGCTGGAGATTTTGGAACCCAGGACAGACACATCTTGAAGGTGCATAGCCTGAGGGTTACCTTGAAGGAAGGAGGCCACTGCCTCTAGATGTTAGACTGCAGAATTGTCAGCCATAAGAACCGTGGAAGGTTCTTGGGCTTCCTGGACTTGCTTCTCTTCTGGACAGAGGCAGACTGCTGGGGGGGAGACCTGAAGAGCAGAAATAAAGTGTACCTTTCGCCGAATGCAGAGTCCTATCCTGAGGTTTGAACAAGTTCCCCAGAGAGCTCCCAAGATCACACTTGGTCCCATACTCCAGAAGAACAGAGAAGGGGAAGGCACCTCTACAATAACGCTGTGGTGCTTTGCTCCAGAATCGAGTGCTTCGGCCTGGGGTGGGGATGGTGAGAAGGGTTGTCCCACTGCAGATAATAGCTGTATCAGCCAAGGACCCACCGTTACAAACAGGCTGTAGAGGAGTCAAGTTTTTTTCTTCAGCACATCCCTGGGTTAGAAATCTTACCTGACATGCTCACCCCCTTGGTTTTAAACCTAGCAAAGGGACTGAAATGCTAGCAAAGTTCTAACTGTGGCTTATCAAGTACTGTCACTGTTGCGAGCAACAAAACTGATGTTGTGTGTGTGCAGTCTTCCAAGTCTGCATCCAGAAGCCCACAAATGTGACAAAACAGACTCTTGTGTTCTTGTTATCTGTGATGCTTCTGGAAATAAGGGTGATGTGAGAAATCACTCTGGTTCTGTGTACATTGTGTTTTATCCCAGGCCTGAGAAAAGAGTTGTTACAAGTGAGAGCAGAAAAACAGGTACTTGAAGAAAACCACTTATATAGCAGTTGAGCCTGTAGAACATAGGAGCATCTGGCCACTCCAACTGAGCATATGAATGACCACCATCCCATCCTCCCCAACCCTCTTGCATCTGCCAGCGCCATAGCTCTCAGCTTACACGGCTACCATATGCAGGTTGCCTCCCAAGTGAACTGGCTGGCAGGATGATCTGGTGTAAATAATGAATTTACGTTATAAAGATAATCTGAATCATCTGTCTGCTTCTGCCTTTCAAAACTTGGTGCAGTTGGGAGGGAAGAAATGGAGGAATACAAGCGCTTTTTGTAGGTGGGAAGGGAAATTTTATCTTTCAAGTCTCTTAGTGCCTGAAGTCAAGATTCCATCCAAGTCTGTTCTGGATGTGGTTAAAAAGAGGTGGCTTTGGCTGACAGGTTAGAACTTCGGCAGGTTGAGAACTGGGAACAGGTTACTAGTTTTACACCTTCACTGCTCAAAACAGCTTGTGCTGAGGATGTAGCACTGACCTTGTTTCAAAATGGGGCTTCTGAGTGCTACACATTATGAGAATGGAGAGAACAACTGGCCAGCAGCTACTGGGTGGCTTTTCTGCAGGTTTCAACCGACCCACAGGTTCAAATCCTCCCCCCCCCACTGTTTATGTATCAGTACAACAGTTGAACATCAGCAGGGGTACCTGTGATTAAGTGCTAAACTTGCATTTCTAACAACTCTAGGCTTTGTGGGCACCTAAAGGCTGGGTGGCTGGAACTGCTGGGCCTTGTTTCCAAAAGAAGAGGCTTGTCCACAAACTCCTCCACCCCCCACCCTCCCCCAGCAACTGCTACCAGCAGCATCAGGACAATCAGAGCAATTCTGTTTATTCAAGAGAGTGCAGATGTCATGAGTGGGCCGTACCCTCCTTCTGTTACAGGTCCTTAAAAGCTGCTTTATGATCTGCCATCCACTCTTCAAATGTCTGGGCCATTGGGTTGAGGTCAAGGTTAAGGCAGTATCTCGAGCTGGGCCCGTGTGGTAGAAATGGAACATGTGAGCTAGCTCTTGGCTACCAGGGAAGTCCAGTTTCTCGTATGATTCAGGTGACATCTGCGGAAAGAGAAATGCCATTAAGAGTAGCCAGGAAATGAGCTGGCTGCAAAACATGTTGCTTGTGCTACTCTGGGGCCAGAAAATGCATGTATGCTGGCCCAAGTGGTCAGGACACTATTTAACGTATAGATGCACAAAGGCTGTCTGAAGAATCCTGGACTGCATTGTTTCTGAAGCCATCCATGGGCCATCTGGCTTGAAAGATCAGTTGCTATACGCACCTGAAGACCTCCCCTATCGTAGGAAGGTGGTCAAAGGATGTGGCTCACCTGGGCATCTCTCACAGCCTTCCTGGTGCACCTTGCTATCAGAACTGTATATTCCACTACAGTGAGTTTGCAGGTGCTCAAGCCAATCTCCTTCCCAGTGAATTTTTCTGGCTCTGTCAGTTGAACAAACACCAGCCCAAGGTCAGCCACTGCCGTGCCATCCAAGGGCACCTCTCCCATGGGAATAGCTGCACAGGAAAGAAGGAAAAGGAAGGATCACGAGATCCAGCAAAACGCAGGGATTAGAGCCAAGACTGGGGTGGGGGAGGTGGAAAATCACCCGTGAGTGGATGTCACAGAATCTGGGGGGGGGGGGGGGGGCTTGTTTAATGACCATACTGGTATTTCTTCCATGTCTATTTTAATTTGAAATAGGCATGAGCTGCCATGCATCACAATCAGCTATGGTGAAACTGGTTTGTTGAAACCAGGATGCTCTTGCTCTTCTTTATATTCCTGTTCTTTATGCCCAGCTTTAATGGGTGTTTTTAATTTCACTTAATAAACAAACCCGGGGTGTGAGCTTAAGCAGCATAGGCACTGGAAAAGCCACCTTTACCCAGTTTGTGGTCTTCTCCACCTGGGGCTTTCCGAGGTCGGAAGATAGTGAGGAAGTTTTCAAAGTAAGAAGAGAGCCTCAGGCTGGTCACAGGCACGCCAATGGCCCGGAAGTACTTCTCCACCTCGCCTTTACCATCAAAATGTGGCACCTCCAGCTGCCCACTTGTCAGCTTCTGCACATTCTCCAGACTGCCGTACACCACATAGTTCGAGACCAGCTGCTTTGCCAAGTCTGCGTGTTTCCCCTGAACAGGAAGCAGACATGGGTTTGGCCTTACAGAATTCACCTTCATTTGGCGATTTTTTAGCTGTACCTGCTAGGAGGCACAGCTTCCTAGAAGGATCTGCAACAAAGGATATGATGTTCAAGTCCTGGTCAACTGAAAGAGACCCTGCTGAGAGGCTCCATTTCCTTACAGGTTCCAGGGTTCAAACTTTGGTCATTTTCTGCCAGTGGGAAACCCAGGACTGCGGGCACGGCTTTGTCCCCGGGTTGGACAGCCAAGGGCCAGAGTAATGCCACCGATCGGCCGAGAGCCGGTCTGGACGGCTAACCAAGTAAAAGGGGCAGCAACCAAGTGGGTAAACAGAGGGAAGAGCGCACACCGGCCTGGGAACCAGGGAACAGTCTGGCTCTGGCGCAGGAAACCACAGACCTTGAGCAAGGAGCCAACTTAGGGCTGCCAAGGGCCCGGCAGCTCTCTCCCCCCCACCTTCCGTGCCAGCCAGTATTGCAGCCCCTGCGAAACAGCTCAGCAGCTGCACGCTGACATCTGATCTGGCCCCTTCCGGTCTAACTGATCTGTTTTGTCACCGAGACAATGATCTCTGTGAGCCCTCTGAACGCAGGCCAGGGTCCCGCATCCCTTTCCAGCAGCTTTCTGTTGGACAGACCGGGAGGGACCCTGCTCACGAGACACGCTAAGCCAGGGAGGGTTCCTCTTCGCCGAAAGGCCACCCTGCTGCTCAGGAAGGAAGCGACCGGCTCTCTTGAAGGAGGCGGCGAGGCCCCGCTGCCGTCAGGGTCAGGTCAGGGTTAGGCTCTGCCCGAAGGGCGGCTCCGGACGCTCGTGCGCCTGCACCCGGCCGTTCTGCGGCACAAGC